TGACACCCGTACCATTAGGGAGACGCAATGACCCAGCGAGAATGTTATTGCAGTTCACATGTTTGCCTTGATGCCAGCTCCAATTGATCCTTCTCAAGTTGCATCGCATACAGTCACAAACGGTGCGACAACACCTACGGAAGCTAATTAGTAGATCATTAAATGAAATAGTTGACATCGAATCCTACCACTTAGAAATAATCTTCCTGTTAAAGCGTCGTGAATGGCAGTAGTGGTTCCTGGTAGCACCTCTCCATCTCGGTCCTCGATAACCTTGAATAGTGAATAGCTATACTTGTCCGCGACCTTCCGATTCAACCTTCTTACTCTCCATATCGTCGTAGGTGGAATTGGCGCATTCAGAGGGTTATCCAAATATGCCAGGCCGGACAATACTTTCGGCATTGTTGCAACATAAAGGTCCCCATTCGCATCTTCAGAGATATTATCAATTGGGTAGTTAAGATTAATATAGTGAACTTTAATTCCTAAACCATGTGCAGAAGGTTTGAAGACGGTTATACCTCCCGTTACAGCTCCAGGAACGTAAATAAGTCCGTCGCTGCCAAGATGAAGACCATTGGGAAATTTGAAGCCCCCTGCAACTTTTTTGCAGGCGCCCTTTGCTGAGCAATACGAGAGGTTCAATAAACTGCCCTGCTACCATAGCGATGCGTCTGCCTCTACCTTTGTTTCCAGGATCGTGCCATGCTGACCAACCGTACAGCATTTGAGGCATAATCATCGCTCTGTATACTTGTCGGAAGTTGACTAGTCCAGCGCCCCACGTTTGATGATGCCAGAGCTGACAGAGCAGAGAGTCGCTCCGTTGTTTTAGCCTCTACCTTCTCTCGATGGTAGTCCCATCGAAGCTTGGATTCCAGTTGAATGCCTAGATATCTGCATGGTTGTGAGGCCTTGATAGTGACATGTGGCGATCGGAGAGAGTGGGTGGTGTTTGAGCTTCAAAGAGCGGTGTATAGAACTAGTTGGTGGTTTAAAGTATTGTAGTAGCTAGATTACTTTGAGTATAGCGAATAAATATTTCAAGTTATCCGAAAGCAGGACGGTTCGCATAATCGCCTAAGTACTATTCGGCTTAGGTGCGACTACCTGATTAAAAGTAGAGTACTTACACTAGAGAGCTTAATAGCCTCCCTCTAATCGTTAGCTTGTGGACGTTAGAGTAGCTATTAACCTCTTGCTATGTGCCTTATAGTACGTAGTACGTACTAATCTAGAATTATAATAGTCAGCCTTACGGGGCTTAGCTGTTAACCTTAGCCTTTTATCCTAACCCTAAGCTTACCCCATGAAATTTTCAACTTGATAACTATGCCTTTCTAGATGATATAAAACACTAATTTCGATAGAGCTCATTAAGGTCATTCCAACGATGCAATTATCAAGTCGATTGAGACACGTTGAGTGCTCACCTGGGAAATGATTCCAGACGATAATTCCAGTCGAGTTTTCGGCCAGTGGCCCCTCTGATTGGCGGGTGCCGCCGTGCTTGGCATGATTCCAGGCTGGAATCACGGGTCCTTTTGGATAGGTCGAAGTATCGTAAGGGCACGCCGGGGATGTCATACTTATGCACTGCGCGAGCCATATCCTCTGCATCCCGAGGCCGATGGTGTTTGGTGGCAAGCCTGGTCGATCAGAATTAGTGGATCGAAAGGATGGATTTCCAGTCGACACGACGGAGGGGTCAAACCCCACGCGCATTTCTGGGAACGAAAACCCGTGAGCCAATGACTCTTCCTCCTCCCCATGCACACCCAGACTCTCAACGTTTGCGCGTCGGTTGCCCTGTTTGGCCGCGTGACACCCTTACTTGCCCATGCTTTCAAGTGTGTGATACATTCCAGACTCTTTCAGCCGTGGTAGACATCCAGGGTAGGTCTTCGTCCTTCTCGTGGTCGCTGGCTTGAACCAAGCCTTGGGTTTCTGGAGAGAGAAGAACAAATCGAGGCCGACCACTGCCCGCTCGCTTTGATGATGGGGGCTGGAAAAATGAGCCACCAGATTTATAACGACCTGGGTGAGCCAGGTGCCAACGCCAGCGACTGATCATACTAGAGTCTAGCTTTTGTAACTCGACCTACATTCATCGCGAGGCAAAGAAAAGGATCTTTCGCCCTCACCATGATCTTCGTCTCTGACGTCATGGGATGTCTGGAATTCGTACGCAATCGGTGTTTGTTCTGAAGCCTAAGCCACGAAGCGTATCAACGACATCGCTGCCAGCAGAACTCAACACCGATTTTTGAGGCTCGCCGACCACTCCTGCGGCATCAGTCCTGTCGCTGCTGTCGTTGGAGAGGGGTGGAAGCCCGTTTCGTCTTTCTGCCTGAATGTAGCCACTGCGCTGGTGATCGTGACGTGCAGCCGTGACATGGTCTGTTTCATCGCCTCGGTCGTCAGTTTGGCGCTCTCTGCACGAGTCCACACAGTCGTCTCCTTTCCGATCGGTTGGTCTAAGGGGATTGATATTCATTTGGGGGATATATCGATGACCCTATTCTGGCATTTGATTCAGTGGTGACCTTGTTTACTACCACCTTTGTGGCCTTCGACACTGGAACAGTGTAAAACGCCTCTTTCCGGTCCAGTATGGATATCTTGGCCAATCGCGGCAGTCGCTGGATCATGGCGGAAGACCGTCAGAGATCAGGTTATGATAAATCTGATGTCGTGATTGGAGGCTCGTCAACCTGTCAGTAGGAGTATCGGAGGAGATCGTAAAATGCCCTTACGCTCAATCTTGCTCTGGTGATAATTCGTCATTTTCAGTAGAAACCAATAACCTTCAGCCCTCTTTTATTTGACAGCATGAGCAGGGCGCTGATTCAGGGACACGTCAAGTTTCAGCCTCCTTCGTACTTCGTAGAGGCCGTGTTTGAGATGTAGACTCCTATTTCGGTTTGCACTGCTTCAAGGGGATTGTGCCAAAGCCTTGTTGGCTTCTGGCAGGCAACCCTCTACATCCGCACAGTCGCAGGCGCTTGACAAGAACGTAGTAATTCGTAATTTTAGCGCCCGAGGCCTGCTAGCCAACTCAGGCAGGCATCAGGGCAGACATTACCTGCACCAATCAAATATTTGGTCAAAGAGGGGGCAGCGGCTAATAGAACAACATTGTGCGCTGATCTCGGTAGGCTGAACCTTTTCTTCCAACGAAAAATTTGTTGAAAACTAGATGTTCACGATCCTACGTCGGTGTCCAGCGAAAATTTGACCTTAATCGGATACACTGAGTATATTACAGAAGTATCGAGTTTGCAATAGATTATCTGGATGATAGTTCTAGTTCCGTTTAAATGTTGTGCGAGCAAAATCGAGAACCAAGCTGCCGCCCCGATACCCGCGATACGGATGCAGTCCTGTTGGAAGTTTCCCCGCGCAAGGACCCCTATGCAATAAGCCATCCGTCGAGCCAATCCTGAGCAACCTCGGCACGGAGAAAACACCCGGAAGTTCCTCGACGATAGCCGGATCTCTAGAGTTTACAGTTCTCGGCTCTTTGACTCTTCCTTATGCACCAATGGCGCTTGACGCACGGGCTACTGATCTACACTACGGCAAATCTATCATGTGACAACTAGGTCAAGTCAAAGAATCCCCAAGTCATAAAGCGGTACTAGTGCGCATATCGTTAGTCTCTCGGTCTAGGACTAAGATCTGCCAATAGCAAAGCAGGTAGTCAGACGATTCTTTGCCATCGACAAAGGCATCTAACGATTACAGAACACTCTAAATATGCGAGCCTTCAATGATTCCAGCAGTGCTTAATCGGAATTAGCTTTCGTCCTCATCTCCGCCTCCAACCATGCCCCGTGAACCTAGTTGTTCAGCAATGACTCATCAGTTTGGTTGATGCTGGTAGCTCCTGCTTCTTCACTTTTGACCAGCTGATGATGATAATACAGTTGTAACTAAACGCTCCGTGCTGGAAATTTCATCCGGCCTTCGGCGACACTAGTCATGTCCACGAATGGAAATTAAGGACCGGAAAGGTCTTCCTTTCGCCCAACATGTACATGCCTGTACATGCATCAGCACTGAGGCTTGCCATGCCAATACATTCGCTTCAGAGGATTAGCTCAGTTAGACCTTAGTGCGCACCACCAATCAGATCGAGCGAATGAGGTTCAGGGTCCCCAAAACCTGACGTAAAGGCTGTGGGCTCCTGCTTTCCCGTGGAGCTAACTGAGGTCATTTCGGATGAACAGAGTTATATGTCTTTGCATTCTGCAAGGCTGGGTCCCCCTCGCCCCTCCTACTACTTGTTCATACTGTATCCTCGCACCGTGAACCGCTAAAATACAGTTTAAATTCGATTTTGGTTGTAAACTCCGTATATCAATGCTTAGCTGTCTCAGAGGGCCGTAGCTGTGTCATAATCTGCGCCAGCTAGAAGAAAGGATTCGGGGAGCAAAAGGCAGACAGAGAAAGCCTTATTCATGGGAACACGGCGGGGCCATAAATTCAAATAAAGGTTTGAATGACCAACAACGAATTGCGCATATCACACATTAATCCTTCCCAACATCGTCATGGAACATGAAACATTCTCACGTCGCCACGCGATTCGAGCTGCCAATACTCCCATCGTACTGGAAAGAGCCACCTGCTTCCTACGGTGCTCCGTCGATTTAATCAGTGCTTCGCTTTACTTCAACCTTCCGTGGTTAGCCAGGAGCCCATGTTTCAAAGCCTTTTCATCTCCCTCTCATTCTGGCTCTCCCACAAGGAAAGAATCGAGTTCCAACTTGCCTACAAGTCGTCCTAAACAGAATGCTGGGCGCATTGGTTACAGACACGGTGATTGGAACGCGATTTTGGTCAGTTCAGCACTTGCGTTGACCAGTTCGAAGTGAAGCCAATGCCACTTAATTCTTCTCACTTGTTGCCAATTTGGTGGATCGTGATCATTATCTCATAAAGCTGCACCGCTGGATGATCGAAAATTCAATAAACTCGACTTTGCCGAGGTTTTAAAATCGTGCCCAACCTTTAGCTTCGCCTTCCACCGCTCGTTCTCTAACTATCACTGGGCGATCTTGACTCCAGGCTTGATTTTTATTATCGCATGTGGAGGTCCAGGATAGTGGTAGAGGTAGCCGTCTCTTTAGTTCCGGGCGATTTTTAGGATTGAACTTTTGCTCTTCGGCATCATGGGCGGAGATTTCGCTAACCATTGCGGTTGAGCGAGCATGGCCAGACCATTCTTTTGCAATATTATTTTCAAATTCGAAAGCAGCGGCTCCAACAACATCGTAACCTTCGCCAATCCGTTCCTCCGAGGCAGAGCCCTCAACGGGCTCTGGTTCTACAAGAACCTGATCTATCGAACCGGCAGTACTTCGGCTCCAGCGACGAATATTGTCAATAATAGTGGCGTGAGCAACCAGACGGCCCAAGTCAGGTGTTCTTCGACAGGCTTCTCCGTTGAGCTTGGCTGAGGCGAGTTGATAGACCTGGTGGGCCTTTTTGGCGGGGCTGGGCGAGTATTCGGTAGCGAGCATTGTGCATGGGTTTTTAGAGATGCTTGATTGTGATTGTTGAGCGCTAGTATACAGCCAGTATACAGTTCAAGTTGGCCTGAAGCGTCGAGGTCTGATGTGGAAACAGATATTCAGGAGCTGGGAGGCAAAGGCAGGTATGTGTCACTCGTAATTTTGATAGCACGGGCATAAACTCATTTGTGAAGTTCCATAAGATCCTTACTCACCCACATGATTGTACCACCAATAACATTTGAGGTGAATTATTTACTTTATAGAGTGATAGTCACATGGTCAATCAAGCATAGTCGCTTCAGCGACTTTGCATCAGAGAGATGTGGATCTAACAATCTCGATCTCAAGGCGCCAAGCTTGATCAACCCTTCGCTGCTGGCGATCTTCACTAGCAAAGGAACTAAGGAACATATAATCATCTTGGGCCAAAAACGGGTGTCGTTGATTCCAGGGAACGGTGTGACCGATGATACGGAACCGATGCAAAAGATGTCATGATCGCGTACGCCGTTCTGAATTCTTGGGTGGAATTATGTGAGGGTCGTGAGGATTACAAAAGCAACCGCTACCCGTTGGAGTTTGGGCGAAGTGGATGTTCTTGTAACTATCGAATCTTAAAGCACACACTGGCGTCATTTTGAAAGGGTACCTCGTGTTTGGCATAACCCAGGTCAATATAAGTTTCAGAGGTAGGATAAGCCTTGAGAGTCAGAGAACTACGTAAGAGGACAACTAAAAATGAAGGTAGGAAGATTATGGGCTGGAGTTGGATTATCTGTCCCGACTGGAAGTCCTCGACCGATCGCTGCCGTATTTTCTCTCCCATCTCTCCTGGTCTCGATCTCTCTTCTCTTCTCGCCACTTTCTGTGCTTACCGTAATCCTTGCCAGCTACCCAGCCTGCCAGGGTACCACCGACAGCCCCCAGACCTGGGTAGAGCAGGTACCCTATTACACCTCCCCCTGCCGCCCCGATGAAGCCATCTATCAGTATAGACCGTGAATTTTTTGAGATGCGAGAGATTCCATTCTTGTGTTCTCTTCGGGTTGGTTTGGGAGCTGAAGAGTAACCGTCATTGTGTCGCTGGGGTCTTGGGTGCGGTGGAGGAGAAGGATGTTGCTGATAGATATATCCTCGTGGTATATGATTTTGTTGGTAAGTAGTGACTCTTTTCGGGTCGTTAAGTTCGTCCATCGAATATGGATTTGGTCTGAGTAAGTTTGCAGTAGGAAGGATGGAGTTGACCCGCCCCGGTAAGGATACGTGAGCGAAATAGACCCTTCGTTTCTATTTGTGATCGATTGTTAGAACTAGAGGTGGAGGATACTGCGACTGCAGGGTTAAGAATTGTGAGCTGGAGTGATATGGTTGTTCAGCGGTCTACAATACAAATTTAAGGTGGGAGGTTGACATTCTGGGGAGGTGGGATTTAGATGGTATAATTGCTACGGTGGACTTGCGTCAGAGATCACGTGTCATCATACGCATACGCGCGGAGGCAAAAGGCTCCTGGCTGAATGCCTAGTAAATCGTTGCTTTGATGTGTCACAAGCTCTTGTGACGTGCGCAGGAAAGAACAGGTTAGCAAAACGTATGAAGGGTACGAAGGGCGGACATCACATCGGAGAATGGACCAGGCTTGCCAAGGGCTAGTGGGGGATGAGGGGGCGATTGAGCAGGATTAGGAAGTAGCATTGGTAGTGCCATAAGCACAGCATTGGCTTATCCAGGGGGTCCTTCTCCATCCCTGACGTGACGTGCAGGTACGGTATCGAAGGGCTCCCCATGGGACTGGTCTAACGTATCCATTCTACAGCAATGGCTGCGGCCTCGTGGGAAAATGGTCGCCGTTCGTGGTCAGGTGGGTGACAGAGTCAATCACGGTCGGCGGGGGCCCAAAGGACTATATGCGTAAGTTAGAAAAAGACTGTAATGGCCGTGGCTGCACAGAACGTGCCCTTAGCTAAATGAGAGCAGTGGAAGTCCCTGCAACATCCGAATCGCTTAAAATATCCAATGGTTCGTCGTCGTGGAAAGTCGGAGCGCTCGACTTGGGAAAGCGCAATGAAGTTGATTGTCGAGCGCATGCATGCGATTCAACGACGATTGAAGAACCATGGCATCGGCTTCTACACGACTGGCCAGCTCTTCCTAGAGGAGTACTATGCTTTGGCCCTCCTGGGCAAAGCCGGATTGAAAACTCTCCATATGTAAGAAAGCCGATTCACCATTTCCCTTGAAATGCGAATGGTATTACATCACTCTGATTTCATATTGTTCGGACCGTGGCATAAGCTTGATAATGCGTCACGTTGTGCTCGGAATTTTCATCCGAAGGTCGCTACCCCACTGACCGATGCAGTAGAAGTGGTGGCTGATTGTTTGATAAGCGGCTGTGGTTTCATTTGAATCATCTTAAGCCACCGAGTTACTAGTAGTCCCTCTCATTGTAGGCCATCATCAGATACCGATCATCTATCTGTTCGGGGTAGACTGGAAGTTACATCTGTGAAGCATAGTGCGTTCCTCTTCAGGCTCTTCTGTACGCAGACATGACTGAAAAACCAACCAATCAAAGTTATGCGTAAAATCGAGAATGCTTGTGGAGTAGTAGGAGCGGATATTTTAGCCGGCCGGGTTTTGCGTTTGAGTAAAGGAGCTCGATTGCAGTAACAAATTCTTACGGGGAATTGCAAACATAAGAATACAAGATAGCGACATAGATGACGATTAGATCTGTATACCATGACCTAGCTGCCGACTTTCGATTGCGCAGCCAGTATGCCCAACAAGATGGCGGCTTGATATCCCTCTACAGACGATGAGGAGGGCCTTCACTGAAGGCTTAATTCTGGAAAATAACTATGCTTCAGAAATCCGTGTTACACCACCGTTGATTGGTAAGAGTGTGAATCCGCTTACGCCGTATGCGCCTCTGACGTCAGACTTGACCTGCACCTTTGGAATACGTTTCCATCCCACGAATTATTAGTGTATTGGGCAACCCAAGCGAGCCAGGGTGGCTTGATATTGCGACTTAACCTTGTAGAAAATCCGTCAAAAAGGCTGCTGACGATCGATGATCATATATCACTATTACTTCAAGAGACTAATAGCATCAGCAGGTCCTTCTTTCTTTCTTTCGCGCTAGTAGGGGAATTTGGCTTCTGCGAATCAATTCTCAGCCTGAAGTTAATTAGTGTAACAAATGACAAGTTTCAGCGGATGCTGCCTCCGATGTTTCAATTACGTTGTGATGTGAGCAGTACAAAACCATCAAAGCACTATGGATGCCATCTTCTGCACTTCATAATACAACCTATAACTTGATAACCATCAAACGCAATGTTCAACGTCTTGGCTCTTCTCTACAAGTTTTTCCCGAACATCAAGAAGGGAAAGAACCCCATATCACCCTTGATTTCAACAATTCCGACTCCAACCGTGTTCAACACGTCGCCATCTGTGATTCGGCCACAAGGTCTAGCACCACGCCACCTTCTCAAACTCTCTCTCATCTATAATGCCAAGCACGAGCTAGATCCTGGTCGGATGCTTCCAGCTTTTGAAGGCCGTGGATTGCAATGTCTGTAGTCGAGACAAGAAATCTGGTAACAACAATAAAGCGCAATAGACGGAGTCGCATACGTCACAGTCTAGTCGGGGGGAAAGCTAGGTCCGAAAGAATGGCATTCGTAAAGGGAAAGACGTTTCTTCATTATGAACGCTCTAAATGAGTTTCTTGTCCTGCCTCATCCCTTCCTCCTTAGATGTGTAAATACCTTTGTGCGTCGCCTAACCGTCGTAAGTATTGCCTCAACCGCGCGTCAGGTATAGATTTAATACTTTAACTGAGGAAATGAGACGGTAAGTGACGATAGAGTTGCCCGGGCTTGGTCGCTAATAATGAGCGCAGGAGGAGCGCAAGTTGTAGGTAAGGAGGACTTTAATGACTCCCAGAAAAGAGGTATGATTAATGACTCTCACTCCGGCAGCAGGTAAAAGCGACAACAGCGAAGGTTTTACCGATGTTGAGCACGCCGACAGTGATAATAAGATGCATTCTTGCCTTGATCTGCTGGAGACATTCTGCGATGAACAGTCTGAGATTATTTCCATGTGCTTGAACAGTGGAGATAAGAGTTCCGTGACCTCAATATCCCATGGAAAACCGTACGTGTGGCGAAGATAATCTGCTAAGGAAAATCACAGAACATCACATCCAGCATAATGGCGACAAGAGATGCTTGGCTCGCGATTGCTCACCGGTGATGTAACCGTCGCAAATTCTGGAGCTTAGGTGAGGGGACGACGCGAAATCCTTGCATATCAGTAGGTGATCTGCATGGGTGTCATATATTTCGGCCAATCCTTGCTTGGCTTGGTCAAATAGTGGTGGTGAGATAAGCTAGCTTTGAGGATTTGAAACATCATACCGGAGATGACTACTGGCAGTAATTTCACCAATCATTTGCAACCAGCATTCCACTTCCAGTCCAAATTGAATTATGATTCCGACGCGATCACCTCTGATGTCAAAGGATATAAGGATTAGTCTACTTTACTTCTTAATGCTGAGCATATCAGGCCCTCCATTGCGACGTTGGAGCGCTTACAACGACCTCTAAAAGCAGGGTCTCCGCTTCGATTCGAGTTCATAAAAGTAAATCATCTTGGATAGTTCATGATGGCTGCAAAATATACAGTAAACGCTCTCACCAAAATATCCAGACCAGCCCGTCGACCTCTTGTGCAAGATCGTCTTCGGCTTTTGTCGAGTAGCGTGGTCCAGAAGCAAATTCAAACACTACTGCAAGACAATGAGAAGGGCTTTGGATTTATTCGACACAATCCACGGGCACCCAAGCCTCGAAACAAAGGGGTGACTGAAATTCGAGGACCATATTATTCGGCATATGGGAAGCGCCATTTACAAGATATTCTAGAAACAATGGGATATCATGTTGATGGGCTCAAGTTTGCGGGAGGGAGCTTCTCAGTGATGCCCGAGGTGGCTGTGCGAGAACTTGTCGAACTAGCACATCAGCATGATGTGTATGTCAGTACTGGTGGCTGGATGGAGCACATCTTGACCCAGCCTGACTCGAATGCTGTCGTGGAGAGGTACTTGCGGAAATGTAAGGATATTGGATTTGACGTGATTGAGCTCTCATCAGGATTCTTGTCGTTTCCACCTGAGGACTGGCTCCGGTTGGTGGACAAGGTACACAGCATGGGCATGAAGGCCAAACCAGAGTTAGGCATCCAATTCGGAGCAGGAGGTGACACAGCTGCAGAAGATCTGGAAGCAACAGGAACGTCGGATCCAAGCAAAGTGATCAATCTAGGCAAGAAATTCATCGAGGCAGGAGTGGAGAGAATAATGATCGAGAGCGAAGGGGTCACGGAGAATGTGAAAAGTTGGCGAACGGATGTGATACAAGCGATTCTCCGCGACCTGCCTCAGGAGAAGATTATGTTCGAAGCCGCCGACCCGGAGGTATTCAATTGGTATGTTCGAGAATTTGGAATCGATGTCAACCTGTTTGTGGATCATTCGCAAATTGTGCAGTTGACCTGTCTCCGAAGTGGAGTCTGGGGGATGGCCGACACATTTGGCAAGATTGTGAGCTATCGCGAGTGAGCTAGTCGACAGCAGGGCTCCAGCGATGACTGGGATCTACCGTGTACATTTTTGCGAGTGAATAGGTTTCAAGCCAGCGAGGTTTAATCCACAAGCTCGATAGGGAGTCAAGCGACGATTAGTGCACAGTACTTGGTCTCAAGCAGAACAACTGAGCCTAATGAGAGTATGGTAATACGGAGAGGACAAAAGAAAGGGAGTTTGGTTGGGCATTTGGTCCTTTAAGTAACAGGGTACAATAAGACCTTGGTTCGTCAAGGACAATTGAGGCGAGCACAATTATCAGGTTTCAGGCACCATTCATGCTGTTCAACGTACCACATCAAAGACAACGAACACAAGTCAGAACCGTTGTTATGCAACCGAAGTTAAAAAGGGGGTCCATGCCCTTTCTAACTCCGCGCATGGTGTTCGCCCTATCAGCGACATCCCCATGCCTCAGATTCACCATGCAGCAGGACCGCCATCGCTGAAATTGAGCGAGGAACAACACGAACGAGCCTCGAGCATGCCAATCGGGCAGCTCAAGATCATCAAGATCGAGATGCAAAGCCACCAACCTCATGATGTAAACATAGCTTGTCCACAACCGGGCACGATCTACGGTAGTTTTCTTCCGCCATGGCCTGGTTCACTTGCCTCAGCTTGCACCGCAGCTCACTAAGGAGGATTCTGGTGGAAGAAGTTCCGGATTAATGCAAGCATTACTGGCGAACGCACACAACTGGTAACATCAGAGCAGCATACCGAGATTCCGTCAAAGTATATGCAGCATGCCTGAAATGCCAAAGCCAGATCGCCGGGGTGCCATTTCCCGCACATTCTTGACATAACTCAATCCAGTCCCGAATTGGAAAATACGGTCAGTGGTTTTCCATCGCTCGACCGGGACAACGAAGAGGAAGATCGAAATCGAACGTGGTCTCCCTCGCACCCTCTGAGAGATCTCGTATGTTCAACCGCCCAACTTGTGAGGGCATCCATCATGGTATGCGGAGTGATCGTTATGAGACAAGAAAACAATGGTCTGAGCATTTGCCTCTCGTATCCTACCGTGACATTATACCACCCTGACCATGCATTTCAGAGTGCAAGTAACATGGCAGAGCAATAATTACATACCTGTGAAATACCTTTTGACGAAATAAGCTTGCCCGTAGCTCGTCAACTCCGCTTTTCAACGTGCTTTACCCTGGCCCAGCTGTCCAAACGGTGTGAGATCTGCTGCAGCGCAGCATTGCGGGGTCAAGGACGAGGTAGTGCGAGATAATCTCGAGGCGGCAGCTTCGTCCTACAGTATTATATGGCACAGCATCAAATCTCGGGCGCTTGGGTGGTCGGCATAAAGAACTAGTCGGTGCGTCTCTTGCGTAGATTGCTGCTGGAAGGCTCCTGGATGGCCGTAATTCCTCGGCTAAGCATTCACGCTACCCAACGAGAGAGGAGCTAGACAATGATATTGACCAGGCCACGGTCAAAGCTGCATGTGGAGAAATGGGGTCCCAACTGCTTTGTGGTAGAAAGTTAGTTCTTGGAGATTGTGGGTAAGCTATACTGGTGTGGTGCTGACTCCAGCAAGACAACTAGCCACACAGTCACACAACCACACAGTCACACAACCACACAGTCACACAACCACACAGTCACACAACCACACAGTCACACAACTTAGGGGCCGTGTTCCTAAAGCAGAAGTTAGCACGAATAAGAAGAAATCTATGTGCTCATGCTGATGCTGCTATTACGCATGCTCAAGCCACTCCTTGAATAGCACTCTTAGATCGCGTGATGCACGCGAGGGCTGGGCGGATGACGACGACTCCAAAACCCAGCGCTGGACCAAGCCACCAATCACAGAATCAGGTGCCAAGGGCCGTCAAACCATCTCGGCACTGTATGAGGTCACATCGCCAGATTGGAGATAACTCCGAGACGTTGCGTCACTGGCCTGCCTGACCTATTTACCGGCTCTCCGGTCAACAAACTGCACAGCCTAATCAAGTACAACTCCCTTTGCGTTCAAGATACGATGCCAGCACAAATTGAACTTAGTACAACATTGCCGCATAGTTCCGACGAGATGGGTGAGCATAGTCAAGGACAAGCAACAGACCGCCACAGCGACGAGGCGCACTCAACACACAATCTTGAGCGGTCTCAACAGGATCTTGAGGCGCCCGATAGTACCGATGTTGACAGCGCTGTCCCTGATGGTGGATACGGATGGGTTGTTGTTACAAGATGTGCAGTGCTGACCTTCTGGTTCAATGGCATTATGGCAAGTTGGGGTGTAATTCAAGCCGTCCTTCTGCGATCGGATTTGAGGACAACATCTACGTCGACAGTATCCTTTATCGGTACACTTGGCCTCGCAATCGTTGTCTCCTTAGGACTCTTCGGTGTACGTCTGATTCATAGCTTTGGCGCTCGCACGACCGCCTTAATAGGGGTTGTCCTTCTGGCTAGTGCCGAGATTCTCGCGAGCTTCACTGTCTCTAATGTGGGCGGTCTATTTGGCACAGCAGGCGTTCTTTTTGGACTAGGGGCTTGTCTGTGCTACGCGCTTTCCAACATCGTCCCTACGTAATATTTTGCAGCAAGACTTGGTCTAGCATCCGGCCTGGTGAAATTTGGCGGCGGCGTTGGGGCGGCGTTGGGGCGGCCGTTCTCAGTATCAGCATCGATGCAATAAATGACAGAGTCGGCATTCAATGGACCTTTCGGATCCTTGGCATGTGCATGCTAGCCACTTGCGGACCTGCTGCGTGGTTGCTTCGCGAACGGGTCTCAATTGGGCGTGCTCCATTCGTCGACCTATCCCTGTTTAGATATCTACCTTTCGTAGCTGTCTTTCTTGCTGGCGCAACCGGCACGTTCGCATTGTTTGTCCCGCCCTACTTCCTCCCGCTTGTTGTCCAGACTATAGGTCTGAGCTCTTCGATCGGTGCCTGGCTAGTGGCTGGATTTAACGCATGCACCGCTGTTGGCCGCTTGCTAGCAGGTTATGGATCCGATATCATCGGACCAGTCAACATGTTATTGTGTGCCATGGTCCTCAATGCCGCAAGCATGTTGGCTATTTGGCCGTTTTCGAGCTCACTTGGACCATTGATTACGTTCGTAATGCTGAATGGGCTGGCGAATGGTGCATTCTTTACCGTATATCCAGTCGTGGTAACGAGCACAGCTTCTGGAATTGGCAATGACCAGGCTAGCAAAGGAGCAATCGCAATGAGTATGGCTATTACAGGTTGGACAGGTAAGCAAGAAGCTATTCAATTTCTTCTGCTTTTGCGCATGACTGAAATGTGGCTCCCATTAGGGGGATATCTTCTAGGCTCGCCAATTGCGGGTTACCTTCTCCAGGCAGCAGGTGTTCGTGTTGGGGCATACACAAAGAGCAACGGAGGAGACCAAAGTGGCATTCCAACTTCCGTTGTTCCCTACCGACCAGCTATATTATATGCGGGGGGGGGGGGGGGGGGGGGGGTCGCGGCCGGCGGGGGGGGTGGTGCGGGGGTTGGGTGTGTGGGGGGTGGTTGGCTTGCCCTCACAGCTGCGGGCTTTGTGCTAATTGCAAGGGTGAAATTTGGGCAAAGTATCAAGCAGAAAGTCTGAGGCGGAGGAATTCCTCATGAGTATCTATGCATCTATGCATGTATCATGTGTATTTCGTATTTTGCCATACTCAGTTCTACGATGCTCAAATGGCTTCTACATTATGTTCTTAGGAGGGTCTTGTGCTGAAATTCATCTAGAATTGAATATGGAGCGTTACAATTTGCTCCCTGTCAATGATGCGCGGGCGACCTTTCTGCATACGCCCATTGCGTGCAACGTGCTTCACCGCATTTCTACCATATGTACTATATGCGGAAAATATAGAAATTCGCGAACAACTTACCACAAAAATCCAGATATGATTGGATTGGATTGGATTCCATCACCACAACTGCGCCCGGATCTCTCCTTGCATCTCTCCTTGCATCTCTCACAGCCTTGCACAGGCTTCTTGCTGTGGAAGAGCCCTTCCATAGGAAAGGTCTCGCATCACTATATCGCGTGAGGTATACTACATTGCAGCCATATCCATTCGGTACATTCCTCTCACTCAGATCAGCTTAGTTTTATAAAATAGTCAGCAAGCATGAGGAGAGTCAAAGGGCAGTCTCCGATTTTTCGCTCCTCGCAGGGCTCGCCAAAGCACCGGTTGGGGACTTTTCACGACCAAGCACATTGTGGGAAAATATCCGTATGCCAAAATCCCCGGCCGAAGTATCCTTGGTACCATTAACCAATTTGTTTGAACGATCCTAGCGCATGTTGCGCCTCTCGAGAGTTTTTACAGTAACTGTTGATGCTAAACCAGGCAAATGCTGTTGAAGGCTTGGCGTAAGTCTAGATGCAGGAGAGTGTCCTGCCCCTCGGTGTGCAGCTCATGGATCCCAAAATTGTCTCTGCTTCCTATTCTATGGCTCCTGTTCTCTTCTCTATATATACCGCTAGCACATCGATCTAGAACAGCCGATTCTTCATCAAATGAAACAAACAACGCGGACATCAAAACCCTGTGCAAATCTCTACAAGGTAGCAACTTGAGAGTACGGCGCACTAATACTCCTATAGCGTGAATACGTCTGTGTGTAGGGTCTTGTCAACAACACCATGAAAATATTGGACCGAAAGAGTCCGGTATCCATGTCGGGCCATTTGGTTCAAACATCGTACAGATACTATTGCAATGTCTTTTATGCCGAGCTACGGTGAGCCAAACTAGTCATATCGCCCGTACTCACGGGACGGTCGAGATTACTCTATAGCACATACCGATGACAAACGTTATGAAGAGGCTCGTGTTCTCGTTGAGGAGATTTTTCGCGCACGTCCGCTGAAGGAGTTACCTCGGCGCATTACCCCCAGAATGTTTATTACACAACATATTTAGGAGAGTACAAGTCCAGCAATACTATGACCCAGGTCAGCCAGGACGTAAAACTCTCATCAGAGTCATTACTTTCTACGCGACAAGCAATTTTCCTAAGATTTGAATACCCAAGTGGACGAGCGAAGCCCACTTCACTATTTGCGTAAGCAGCGTTGGCTACAATAGGTCGATCATGGCCGATGCACAGAGCAACGGACAAACAAATTTCCAATCATCATACTACTCTTGGTTACGATTATTTCCATGTACAAGTGAAGAGTCAGACTTCCTCAGATTTGGCTCAATAAAGGTGTTGTAGATTTCATCGTTATTCACCGCGGCAGACGGTCCTCCTAGCCCGAAATAACCAACAAACTGTTCGGATTAGATATAAGTGTTTTGAGGATGTTGGTGATGTTTGTAATTCGGAAAAGGCGAGCGAGAAGTCGGATAAGAACAGGAGGGTGCAGCAACATCAAATGCAGCCTTCACAATTTCCGCGACAGCAAAATACTATGTATGGAGGTGCATATGACTCTAGGACAGTTGGTGGATATCCTTTGCCACAGCTACGGCTTGATAGCACGCTTGCGCATCCTGGGCCAACAAATCTCTATTCACAATCTCAATCCATAGGTGCTGCTTAGCCCCCTACTGTATTTATCTACTCTGACTAATACATTGACTAGTGAGAAGATCGAGTTCAAACTCATTCTTACAAAAACCAGTCTTGAGAGGCCTTCCACGAAAGCCGAAACAATCTGGCCATGCTCTTTGGGTAGGCAATCTCCCACCGGCCACGCACATCATAGATCTGAAGGATCACTTTTCTCGGTACGCAACAGACGATATCGAGAGCGTTTTCCTTATTGTGAAAAGCAACTGTGCGTTTGTCAACTACAAATCCGAGACAAGCTGCGCAGGTGCTATGTCCCGGTTCCATGACTCTCGCTTCCAAGGAGTCCGACTCATCTGCAAATTGCGCCATGGAAGTTTATCAACGAATGCCACAGCATCTGTCCCAAAGCCACCCTTCGACCATCAAGGAGATGGCGAGGTTTCACCCGTCGTGGAAGACGGTACACTGACAGACGGAGAAGCAAAAGTCTCGTCACACTCGGCGGCAGAGGTCACGGAGAAAGTCAAAGAGAAGTTTTTCGTCGTCAAGAGCTTGACAGTCGACGACTTGGAGCGAAGCGTGCACAGTAAAGTTTGGGCAACACAAGCTCATAATGAGAGTGCCCTGAACCAAGCATTTGACGTAAGTACACGATCTCTGCATGCAACAATAGATGTGGCTTACCAAGTTTCAGGCTGCTGAAAATGTGTATCTGATATTCTCGGCCAACAAGTCAGGTGAGTATTTCGGATACGCAAGAATGGAGACTACCATCGATGGCAACTCAGTTGCGGATGTTGAATATCAACCAAGTCCCGAAGTGTTGGTCCCGACTCCGACAGATCTTCCACTTATGATACCAACACAAGCAACTTCAACAGCTCCCAAAGGACGGATTGTAGAGGACTCTGCACGAGGTACAATCTTTTGGGAAGCAGAATCAGAGAAAAAGATTCCAGAAGAACAAGTTGTACGAGACGAAAGGGCCGATCTATCTGGAGAAAGTGATGATTCCGCCAACATATCTCCTGGCACACCACAAGCTTTTGGGAAGCCTTTTAAGATCAAGTGGATATCAACCGACCGACTTCCGTTCTACCGAACAAAAGGCTTGCGCAATCCTTGGAACGCGGACCGAGAAGTGAAGATTGCTCGAGATGGGACCGAGATTGAACCAAGCATTGGCCGTCGACTTGTCAGCATGTTCCACTGTCCACGAATGCTTATAAGAAGCTCTAATGCTATCCGCCAGCAACAATCACCACAACCGCGAAGAGGGATCAGTCCATACGTGAATCCTCATGTCTCTGCACCAGGCGGGGTTTATGGCTGGACTTATTGATATCACAGACTCGACACTCATTTTATTGTACAGAACCCGCCCGAGACTTACGAAGCGTTGTCTCACGTTTGTATGATGGCATGACCATGTTGACGAAGGCTCTCGAAAGGCAAAAAAGCAGAACAGTGGCAATACCCTAATCCTAAAGCAACAATTAATGGGTGGAGATCTTATTGAGAACAAGAACGAACCTCCGGTCATGAGTTTCATTCACCAAATTCTGTTCGTGACCTAAGAAATGGGAAATTCGTCAGCATTGGGCCAGGACGCAAGAGTGGAAGGCGTCATCGGCAAGGCTCCTCGCGCTAATGCAAATACAAGGTTTTAGGAAAGGGTGCTTAAAGTAAGCACCCTGCCAAAAGCGGGGCCATCGCGGCTCGCAGATTCATGATGCTCCATTCTGGACCTCTGGTTACTGTGCGATGATTTCTGGCTGCACAGAAAAGGAATAATGGTGGAGTGAGATGGCGGAGGTTCTGACGGGAAAGCAAGGCCAGGGCGTAGGAGGGAGCGTATTGCTGAAGGTGGGAGACGGTGGGCGTGGTGGATTCAGGTGGAATGGCCTCAGCTAGATCACAGCTCAGCAACCAAGGCAGAAAAGGGGAAAGGGTATTGGGGGAACATGGCGAGAGCCATGGCTGTGGATGAGGCGCTGAGCTGTTCTCCCTTTAGTAGGCAAAAATCCTTCCCAATGAACCGGTTGGGGAGATTTTGGCGGGTGGAATTGGGAACTGGGGAGATGTCGAACTCCTTGTCCACCCCATATGCCAAACTCTTACCCAAAGATGTGTTGGAGACAAACTACGTCATAGATCACTCATTTTAGGCCCTATAAATTGGGGTGTTCTCCCCCCATATTTACGTAGAAAAACACACAGGTTTTTGCCCTCTTTTGGCCTTCAACAAGATGACCGTCATCGTTGTCACGTGATCTGATATTCAACACTAGTAACGTCGACTATGTCTGACAGTGTAGTTAGTGCCAAATGCGCGAGGTGACCGATGAAGCCCTTCAACGCCTTTACCGGGCATGTCGAAGCAAATCTGGCTTTCCTGGGGATATTCCCGCTGAATCCCAAGGCCCACCCTCGACAACTGAAATCTTTGATGCAGTGGGCTTGATGCGGCCATTGCTCGCAGACATGGGATCAATCGAGGACTTCCAGAAGTCTGTTTCCACTTCGCCACCAAACTCTACGACTTATTCCGATTCTACCCAAAACTCAACATCTGGGAACGACCCCTCCGATGAAGGAGCCTTTTGCTCAAGACGAACACTTGCCATCGCCTACTCGTTCCTCCCCTAATATGGAGTCGCTGGCACAAACCCCAAGTTCGAGACCGACGTTCGCAGCCGTGCCACCTCTGAAACCAGTAATGCCCCCGAAATGGATATGTGCGAGCAATTTCTATTGGCAGTTCCAGAAAGCTCATGGGGGGAAACCACTGATACTTATAGTCGTACCGCTGCATAGCTACTTACTATATAGAGTGGCTGGGACAGACTATGAATTCATCATCATCATCATCATCATCATCACCACACAACCACACAACCACACAACCACACAACCACACAACCACACAACCACACAACCACACAGCCACACAACCACACAACCACACAATCGAAGCGCCCAAGCAAGGATGGTCAACCGGTGAGGTGAAACAACTAGCAGCGATTGGGTTTGAATGCACGTTTTCGATGTCATTATGATCAGGTGGCCACGCAGGTCTCTGGTGACCCACCAATGGCTAGATGGTCAGACTAGCCTAATGCCGATGCCACCTGTTGGTTGTGCAGGTCGGGTGGTCGTCATTGCGGTCACCGCACTGGCAGTACTCACCTTAGTCTTCGGCTGATGTGTTTCCGGACCGCATTAATTCGTTCATTCATGCCTTGACCGTGACTGAGACCGATCTCGGTTAGAAAATCCTCAGCACTTCCCAAGAGGGATTTCACAGATTTGCAGTCTTCCATTATTTCTCATAAGCGGCCCTATCAAGCAAAAGGTTCTACAAAATCTTGCAGTATTGGTATGAAAGGGTAAAAAGAAGACACTTCCACTCCAGGTCGTTGTGCCTGTAATGCAACCACGTGATTTGCACTTCTCTTCTGTTGCTGCTAAGAGGCCTAAACTCCGCCGTAATGATCCACCGTGCTACAATCTGCCACTAGTGCAATTGTCAGCTCGACAAGGACCAAAAACCTCAGCAGGATAGGGTCTTCTGCCAGTTATTACAGCTCAACAAGGGCCTCAGGAGATGCGTAAAAAGCCACTCTAGATCCTCTCTACGCGTAATTTATATAGGAGGAGGAACAGCCTCTATGAGTAGGGAAAACAGAGACAATTTGACAATTCCTGAAGTGCATTTCTGACTGCCAAGCCTTCCACAGAATCAGACCTCAAAGTCACGAGTTTCTTTCCGTATTGACAATCGGTACTGGTTGGTAAGGGATTCTAGGACTTTCAAGAACTTGTAAACATAAACTAAAAACACCACAATGATGTGTGGTTTGGCACCGGGCCCGATGTCAGAAGTCTCTTTTGATTCTTCTGTTACTGTAGATGCTGCCCTGTACAGATCTTGGCGGTTCACATAACGCTATCCAGGTTTCATACCACAGATTGTAGCGTTCCTAATGACGATTTGTGATTGGTTTCAAAAGGAGGGGGTCGGATAGATGACCAGGGAAATGAATAGGCTGGGTTGATGATAGGTTGGCGCCATTCTGTGATCGGTATTCCGGGTGGATACTATATCTTGGACTCGATTCACAGGTTGATGTGCGTGTTCTATGAATCAGACAACGTGCTTCACATATGCTTGCGACAAGGAGACCGTTGCACAACGATAAGGAGAGGAGGTGTCTTCGTTCCACCTTTCAGTACTAATTCTCCGCCGCTCGAGGAAGCACACAGGACCCTGCTCAATTAGCAGCCCTGTCTATCTTCCTCTTCACACTCATTTTGAGTCCCGAGTGTTGCGCTTGGTGGTGGATTTTCCCCATTCATCACTGCGTGGGAGCATTTGATCTAGATAGTCAATCTTAGTAGTTGTAAGTACGGCATCTGGGTTTCGTGAAACGTACCCTTTTTTGCCGACACCGCGAGCAGGCGCGAGCGCAGCGAATTCGTGGACGCTTTGCATCTGTCTGGTTATGTTGATCCCTTTTGGTGTCTTTCGTGAAGTCGCTATGAATGAAGGTGACTTTCCCATTCTCGGAAAACGAGCCCTCCCGACTTGCATTATCCTCCAGAGGATAGATGGTGTCTGAAGCAGCATGCCAAGCTTCCAAGAAGTGATTAGTCAAGGCATCATCTGCGGAAGACGATACCATTTTCGTAATTTCTTGGTATTCAGACTTGAACACTTTGTGGGCAGCATTCTGTAGTATGCTGCGTAGTCTGCCAACGATGGTCTCTTCTTTTGCTAGTTTTTCCCATCGATTCTTGTCCAACCTCAAGAAGCCCTTGGCACCATTCCTGGCATGAAGGCGGTCAAGTGCCTCACAAATAGATGCGTATACCACGTATGGGGTGAAAGAGTGCAAGCCACTGTCAAGCGCAATGGAGACTGGGCATTCGAATGGTTGATGGTTAGCATGCCCACAGGAAGGTAGGTGCCCGATTGCCCATAATAAACCGACCGTTGCTAGAACATGGTATCCCGCAATATCAATCCTATCGCCAAGTACACCATGAGCCCAGTAGCGAAGAGATTTGGGGTGCTGCATCATTCTACTCCCAAATGCCCAACGAAGCGCGTCCGTCGCCAGTTGATCTTTTGTGTCTCCAAGCCCGAGATACGCAAGACTGAGGACTGTGTGAGCGTTCGTACTGTCTCCCAGAAAAGAGAAAACTACTCAAGGTCATTATCTCCGACCTCCTCTTGTTCCGATGTTTGAGATTCATTCAGGCTTCCAAGTAGTTTTTCTTGAAACACGGTAGTTTGTGAGCTTGGACATCATTAGCGCGAATTTCATCTTCTCAAGGGGGAAAGATGGAGCGGCTCACGCAAGCAGAATGTCTTCACAAAAGTTAAAGGAAAGTAGCTCATCCTTTATGCCGTCCATGCTGGAGGATAGTTTGCTGGTTTTGAAGGGCTTCCAGAGAGAAGTGTCAAGGCCATATATCAGTACAATCTCTCCCAATGAGTCACTTGTTGGAAAACTATGGACTTTGCAGGCCAGTCTACTATGTAAATATCCCCACGAGAAATCCCACCAGCCATCGTTTTGTCATGGGCCATTTCTGCTATAATCGGAGTTACACGCTGGTATTGCAGATAATCGCGTCAAGAAAAGTTCCTTCCCGGTCGCCCCGTCCTATCAACGGGCTAACATTTCTCCACTTGGACGACAGCCACAATCGCGAGCTCTGTTAACCTTGACTGTTCTGCACTCAAGGAATTCCGCACTCCATACCACAATAACACGGGGTGTAACACCAATAGGCACCTGTGGCCAGGTGGTCACACCAAGTAGTGGATGCCAACTTCTCACCCGTGAAGCATGTCAGAAGCTGCCACATTTTGTAGGCAGGACGCAGGCCGTTCCGCGAACCAAAGAGCCTTGCCTATGATACTGTGGAAAATGCCTCGCGTCAAGACCCACTGTGATATCGAATGCGCGGAAGTAAACGTTGATGCAGCTACATGCGATGGCAGCTCCCACCTTGGCACTAAAAAGCAACACAACCTCTTCCACCTTTCTTTCTAAGGCTCTTTTCGACGCGGCCAACTGACTTTCAGGGGCGGTTGCTAGAAAGGTCATCGCAAAGGCAGCAACTACGAACTAGCCTCTCGACCAGTAAGGCAATTAATGGTTTGCATAGCAGTGCCACCTTCGGTACTGATACCAGCCAACGATTTACCTTTGAACTGCATTGCTGCCTGCGAAATGGTTGGCTCTCGATGATGGATAACAACCAACACGCATCTTTGTCTCATCTAGCGTAGGAGTGAACACGACGAGGCACCACGTTGGCAAACCATAACGCCAATGACAACCATCGCTCCCTTTCGTATGCTGTTACCCAGATCTGTGCCTCGATCTGTTCTTCTTGCGAATCTGGAGTGTGGTTGCTATTGATCATCGAGAACCAACCATTTCGCAGGCAGCAATACTGTACTGGCTGGTATACACAATAACCCATGCAGTCTTTGCCACAGCCTTCAAAGCTTAAGTACCTCACCGGTTGAGAAACTGGCCATCGTTTTTTCCTGCGCGGCGGCCGTTATGGCGGCCGCCCTGAGTCGGTGGGTGGACTTGGTACTGCGCCAGGTGGAAGGATTGACGAGCCTTCCTGTCCTAGGTCCATCACACGTTTGCAGACATGGCTGATTTCGACATCTACCCAGGCCGTCCATCCAACCTGCCAATTCTCTACAGCTGGTCTCACCAGGTGTTGCTTCTGAGGCAGCATTAAATTACGCGGCCTTTGTCGGGAATTAAACAGTGCCGTTTTTTTTTGGACAGTTTCATCTAATATCCGTCTCTAAGTGTTCGTTCGCCTCTGCGTGCTTCCTGCCCGTCAGTTTTCTCCCAGCATAGCGAACGGCTAGTGACCCCCAAGTCTGAGAAGACAACACTGTATGTGTTCCTAGAGCTCAATTCTTGGCTGAGCTAGCCTGGATCGTCCGGCGCGCGTTACTGGCGCCTGATGCTGCTTTTGAGTGCTTCTCGCATGCGAGGTCCTTCAATCTCAACAGTTCCCGCTGCACGTCCACATCTATTGGTTGTGTAAGTACCCTTAGATGAGTCAGACGAGTAATGAGCCCACCGAGAGCTTGCTTACCGATTGTGAAATGTGTAAGAATTGTTCGTGATCGATTTTTCATGGCTTCGAGCGCGTGATGAATCTTGCGCGCGGAGGTTCTGATGAACTTGAGCTTGAAGCCTGTCTCCATAGGCCAGTGGGAGGTTCGAGCACGTATCGGCTACGACAGCGTTTGCAGCTGGGAGTCCTGCGGCTCTTGCCCGTTTCTTACACTCTCTTAAGTAGTGCTGGGCTAAAAATATGTTGGTTGCTGTAACCTGCTTGCTCTGGCTTCCCTCTGACATCCTCTGTAGCTGTCAACACTAATTCTTGAGGGACTCAGGTCATCACTTTTGGCTTGGAAAGCGGATTACCGATCTGAGCTCATGATGCTGGACTGAGGTGAACTTTCGTTTAGGCTGCTCACGCATTGATATAGATATGCCATCGAGTGGCTGGCAAGAGCTAGTGGCCGCCATCGGGCATGCACAGCGTAAGTGCGAGGATCGGCCGCGGCCCACCGCGCCGCGTCAAGTCGGATGGCCAATTGACCAAGTAATAATCCCGGACTGGAGACACCAATAATCGACTTTGTGTCTTCGAGAGGGATCTAGCATCTGGGGTGGGACAATTTCGCATGCCAGCGTGGCAGACCGCTCTGCAACGATAGCTCAAATACGCTCCTGCTTGCCTCGCATCTCAAGCCGGTCGCTAGATGACTAGAAACGGTGTTCACAACATCAAATTTGACAGCACCAATAAGCGTAACACATGGACTACAATCACGCTGCAGTAGCCAATGGCTTTTCCCTTCGAATCACTTATCACCGAGCAAGCCAGAGAACGCGTCAGGAACATGTTACTGCACTCTATGACAAAGGCTGATGATTCGGTAGAGACTTCCCTCGAGCCATGGTAGCTATGAATGTTGGTTACAGAAAGGTCCAAGGCTCAATCCACCACCGCCGTTAGTGCTAATGTCAGTAGTGAAGGCAGAGCCGGACATTATTAGGTGTTGAGTTGAGAGAACGTCGGTTTCCTTTCATTCACATTTTGCGCTATAACTAGTTTTGAGCTAAGCGTCTTGCTTGGAAAGACGAAATCTCACTCCTGTGCGAGAGAGAAAAGATATGGTCTGGCCCCAAAAACCAAGTGCTTTGTCTTGTTACCGTCCCTACCTTCTGAGAAAATGAACACAATCTGTAGGTTCGTTTTCGACGCTACAAGTTGTATGTCGCTTGATTCTCCGCGGAAGAGTGATATGTATATTCCTGCGTGAAGCGCACAGCTAAGAGGAGCTGAAATCCTGGCTCCCACTGCCACGCAACCAAGGCGCAAGTTCATAAAATGTTGAGCATGTGATGGCTGCAAGGGTGCTTGTAAAAAGCTTTCGATTCGACAGTCACGTCAAGTTCGCTTCTACCGTAGTATCAGGCTGACCTATCGACTTTCAGATGTGGCCGCCATAACGGCCACTGTGCAGGCAGCAACATTGACCAGACTCCCAACCGGTGAGACCACCTTTCGGCCATCGCTGAGATGCATGAATCGTTCTAAGGGCCCCTATTGAGTATCATCCTTTTCTCGTGAGTTGTTCCAGCCACGCACCGGGCTGCACAATCCCATGGTCGTGCTGTCGTCAGGCTCGTGCTGGCGTCAGGCTCCAGCCTCTAGACCATACAACATTCGGAGATGGTCGGTTAAATGTCTCACTTATGGTTGTAGAGTCACCAAAATCACTCGTGTCAATAATTTGTGTATCAAGCTAAGCAGTGGAGTAAAAGAGGAAGCAGCACAAGCAATAGCTGGGCCCATCCTCGTGGCGAAACGCGACGCGACCCGTGCTCAGGCTTGCGCCCAGTAGTAGCTCCTCTGGCCATCCCATGTCCTACCTAGCGCAAAAACTGGAAAACGACCTTTTTCCCTGACCAACCATTCAATATCTCCACGATAGAGAAGGCCTTCGGAGTCCTTGAACGGTATTCTCTTGTCCACTGGCAAGGTGATCAAAAGAGCTATAGGATGCACCGGCTTGTGCATGCATGGGCCTACGATCGGGTCAGCGCGATAGAACAGCATAGATTTCGTGAGTGAAGCTATAATTAGATGCGGCGATGCTCCTCAGGACAGATTCCGATTATCATTGAGCGTGCCAGACTCGGATAGGCATTATACTCGAGACGTACTCAATAAGGTACAAATAGGCGTTTTCGGACCTAGCCCGCACTATAATGTCATAAATTAGCGAGAATCCTGCCAACCTGGACTCCATATTTAGCCTTCCTTTCCGTTTCATGTAACACACTTAAATGTTTGAAAAGTTGTTGATCTGTTCTAATAGGAGGTTGATCCTGCCCACACGGAGGAATCTTCAAAGCCATCTTAACCCTAAAGCAAGACGTATGACCCTACATCCAATAGTGTTAGTGTGAGGCTAGGAGTGGACCCCGCGAAGCCCATGGTTTTGTTAAATGCGACCAAGGCGACTCGTATCCTTCACCTAGGCATGGACAGCAGGCACTTGAACATTTTGGGATTCTCGCTATGTTTGGTTGACATAATCACTCAATGGTGCAAGCTGACTGTATTACTATTGCCTTGTAACAGCCATGTGTTTCTCCGGGTTTAAAATGGGGTTGCCCCGGGATGACTCGAACACGACTTGCAGACCCTCCAATGCACTCCATTGCATTTCCCTACCACCTGGCAACGCTTCCATTCAACTCGACATCCATGTGCCTTGCATCTTCGGAATGAGTGCTCGTTGTTAGAATGGCCACAACGATCATGGCTACAGAATCCCGATCTGCCGGAATTCGTCGACATCCTGAAACCTTTAACTTGGATCGAAAAATAATTTGATGACGTACCTTGAACTTGAACCTTTGTGGTGGAGTGGAGGTGTTTAGTTATAATTTCGACACGGTCGTACCCGGGGTTGGGTTTTGGTAAGGGAGAAATGTCAGATAATTTCCAGCCATGTTGTGCGCTTTATAGAGTTCCGATACCTGTATGGGTCCTGTTTCTTTCACATGCCACCACGGTCTCAGAAATCTGTCTATGAACATTGTATGCATGCAGTATGACTTTTTGTGGTTTCACATTGCCCTTAGCATGTGTATGATGACTGGTGGCCATGGCCCTGGTTTCATCGACCTAGCCTTGGCACTGGGAACTTAAGGTTTTTCAGCCAAGACCATGCTGTCAGGCGACTTTGCTCCCATAGCTATTCTGTTTTAACGCAGAACTTGAATCTTCGTTGATGCAAAATACAACAGCCCCGCGTAAACAACCACCACTTGCCGCCATGAAGGCTCAACCGGGGGATGGCATTTGTCCGACACGAGCGAAAGTCTGCTCGATCGCTACATACAGCTACAATCTTTGCACGGTTCCGGACTCTCCGTCATACGAATTCGATATTGAGGAGAAGCTGTTTGAACTCATCGAGGGAGTGCCAGCCTTCTCTTGCAACTCAGAACAAAGGCTCTCCTGGATTGACGGCGAATGGCTGCATTTGAAATGCAAATCAGAATGGGGAACAACGACCACTTCAGAATGCGATATCCGAGTGAAAAGCCTTACCCACTACATAAGAATGGGCCTATCCTCGCCAATAAGCTATAAGCACCAGGATGTGACCCCGAACACCACACTTGTGTTGAAATTTGGAACTTCACCATATATGCCATGCCTCATACGAGCATGGTGTTACATCCTCTCTTGTCGATGGGTCCAGAGACTTGCGAGGGCTGGGGAACGTGCCTGTCTCATGCAGGCTGCGCCGCTAAGTCTGACCAATTTTTGGGAGACTACAGTTACGCAGGAGTGGCATGCGATAGTCATCCGAGGTGAATATACCTATCATGCCCCATGGTCTTGGGCAAAGGAGGGTGCCACCTCTGCGTGAGTCCGCCGCTCAATCCTGCACGCACCCTCCCTGCTGACCATGACAGTAGTTTTGACTTACCAAAATGCCCTCCTAATTCGACTTTGGCACTAGAAATACTGGAAGATTTCTGTACTGCGGAAAGAATGCAGAAAGAAGCTACGCTTGCTCTCTGCATTGCGATTCTGCTTTCGCAGTACCCAGACCAGGTTGTCAAACTTCCAAAATACTCATTGCCGACCTCCCAGTCAGCCATCAGACTCACTCCGAACAAGTCTCTTGACTCTTTGGTGGACAAATGTATTACTTTGAGCTGTGCCGAAGACGGCATAGAATCGATATTGGGCGGCTCACTTCTTGATCCGGGCGTGCCTTGCAATTTGATTGGAGCCTGGTTCCTTGGAATTCGTCAAGCACTGTCAGACTGCGGAAGCCTCCAGATCTTGGAAAAGCTCATGGCGAAGAACGGATCGACTATAGCACCGCTGTGGATGGCGGCGATTTGGTGCGAGAAGACCGAGCATATCCTTGACCATGTGGTTCTTGGATATTCACCGGTCAGCCTCCCGGTATCCACTTGGATCGGGATCCCACAGTCTTTTATTCAATACGACTATGTTTCCAGCGGACCGGAAGAGACGATACCACGGGCCAACGAATACCGTATGACATATCTAGTGAACCCATCGGCATTACCGCCGATGACACCATATCCCCCGTTGGGATACACCCACAAGAAATATCTCAGCCTAGAAGTGCGCAGCCATTTGAGCCATGATCACTATTTGCAGAATTACAGGATGTTCTGGGCTGTACAGGACAAGGAAGATATTCTGGCGCAGTCGTTTGAACTTCCGCGCCGGACTTGCACTTTGGACCTTGTCGGAGAATTGCCTCAAGTGAAGCCCGTCTTCCGCGCAGCGTAGGTGAAAATGTTTCAGGTCGATTCCATGGCTAACTTGAATGAGATTTCTTGATGATGGTGATTATGCTTCGGAAAACTCCACACGCAATATCGTCAACTGGCATAAAGAGACAGAAGAAGGTGGCATCTGGCATGACATGGGAGACGAAGATTGGACAAGGAGGATTCATAAGCATCCTTGGATACATCGAGAATCTTCAGATTACGACTTGAAAACTTCCGATTTTTCTGACCCTGGTCTCCATGAAGTATTTGACAAAACCAATCTTCGCAGATGGCTAGGGAATATCTCCACAGATTATTGGGTGGAGGATGATGATGATTTCGACTTGAAATGTTATCGAGAACTTTGAACGATATTTAGGCTGTCTTCGTTGACCATATACAAAGCATGGTGGAATAAGCTCATAATTCTTGTGCACAAAAACCAGCGACTCTTTCTCCCGTCTTTATTTGGTTATAGTCTATTGCTTCGTTGCTTCACGGCGGCTGGTTCCTCCGCAAATCGCTTGGGTCGACAACATCGTTGGTAGAAGTCCACGCTAACGGCCAATATGGGCTTTTATGGGTAGCAAGACCAGAGGTCATGTAAATCAACATGTGCCAGTGATAAGTCGTCGGTGTTTCCAATGACATAGCCTTTGATCGAAAGTTTCGGAGATTTAGGATCGCTTTGTAAGATCTTTGCAGGGAAAGGCAATTGTGGGATGAGAGGTGCTGCCTTTGGCTATATACCCATCCAGACTTGTGGTGCAGGCCAGGGAGTGTTGACCATGCCGGGATTCGAATGCATGGTGGATGCTGAAGAGACTGGCTTCTCGGGTTGTCGGGCGACGTAGACTGGATGGCAGTTTGCTCCGGGTAAAAGTAAGGCCAATCTGTGCTGGCATAAGGCGACAGCTGGTGACGAGGATTTTTATCTTGCTCTTGTTGAACTTCATTGTAGGGGGTATAGGCAGTTTGTAGATATTGGAATCCCCCTTCCATCACTTGGTTGGGTTTAGTTAGCGAAGGACTAAACATATCCCGGGAATTAGACAGATCTTTTCGAGCGTTCAAGTTGATTGCTATGTCTGGGAATATACATATGTCTAGCTCGAACCCCAACGGACTTATGGCCAGTAAAAGTGTAATAGAAAGTGAGAATCATATAGCATAGAATTTTGTTGTGTTTAGAGCCACCATTAGATAATTAAGTCCTTTGGTGTGGTGTTCAGCGTCTTGGGCATATCAGTTCGGACGCTGGGCGAACCGGGTTTCGGATCTGTGGAGGCGCATGGTGGCCTCTTTCGCGATCAAGCCCAACATGTACGCGTCTCGTGAACACTTGAGCGCTCCTGTCCTGCCATCTTGACGCTCGCAGTCTCATACTCACCGGTTGAGGTTGGACGATGACCGTCACCGCGAGTTGAGGAAGCTGCAACTGTGGGCTTGAATCCCTCAACATCCACACACCTCCTTCCTGGGTGCCTTGAGAGATTCACATCCAGTCGCCGACAGCCAGTCACCTGCCCTTACAGCGTGAAACTCGAGACCAAAAATCACAGTGCGCAAGGACTTAGTGGTCAAGAGACAGCCAATCATTAGTCGCTAAGCAAAAGGGAATTCCTCCGTAATAGTTCTTCCAACCTATCTAGAACCTTGGTCCAGAGACGAGCAGTTTGCAGCACTATTCTCCAAAGTCACCGGATGAGAGGCTGGTCATAGTTGCTGCCTGTGCGGCGGCCCGTATGACGATTACTTTGCGGATGTTGTCAGAGGTAGTCAAGGGGGTTGAGGCTTCGATTCGATGAAAAGGATGGTTAGATTTGAGAACTACCTTAGACTCCGGCATCTATTTGGTGGCAGAAGGGAGAAGTAGCAGTTGTGATCTGGGATCTCAGATTAGAGGTAGCTGTGAATCATTTTCGCACCCTCGCAACTAGCTCGTATCTTGCACGTACCCATGCAGAACAAAACAACACATGTTGATCTTCTGTCACCCAAGGAATTCAGTGATCCATCAATGATACGACAATACGAGGTCCAATACCAATAGGCGCCCGCGGCCAGGTGGTCGCACTAAGTAGCGGATCTTGCAGCCTGTTTGGCGTTTCCGTTCTCTGGTTGTCACGGTCGACCAAGAGTCGAATGCCAACTTCCCACTCGTGATATCAGTGTACGAACAAGCAAAGCTACTTATGACAGTCGCATTTTATCTCGCAGCCAACCAAGGATCCTCACCCGGTGAAACTTCATACTCCTCTGCATCCCTCACTTTGGTCCACTACTCAGTGGCTGGGACAGGTGTGGGCTCTTGTGAGAGCGGCTCAGGTTCTCCTATGAACCGACCTTTCACGATGAACAAGGCAGTTGTGATAGAATCCAAGACCCGCTCTTCCCAGTCAACAGTCCGAGAGTGTGGGTCGCCAGCCTCCTTTCCCACGGGTTCGAACAGCCAAATCTTGTCCTGAACTCATCACCAGTAGAGTGCTCATTGGTCGTGTTCGTCATAAGTATCCACCAGCCTTTCGTGCACAGTGAGCTATATATATGGCTGTTCTTGTCTGCATTTCTGCCAGCAACTTCTCACACTCAATTTCTTATTGTGTTTCTTCCACTATGCAGAGAAAGTGGACACCGGATTACTCCGACTCTGACCTTGACGACATCGAGGATGACTCAGAGCATCCAACCAGTGACCTACCCTCGTCCTATACAGAGGGTGACAACATCGAATCTCGTCAGGCATCGCGACCTGACCCTGTGGAAGGTCCTCGATGGCTTTTTAACCAAAGCGTACGTCACGAGACCTTTGAGGAGTTCTTCATTACATACGGAGAGCACTCGACACTCACTCATTGGATCATCATCAAGTGTCACTACCGAAATATTGAACCTCGGTCGCTTGAAGCAGATCTATTGTCGCTACTTTCACCAGAAGCCAGGGCTGTACGCCTCTATCGCTCACTGTGTCTTGTCCTGCCTTCTATCAAATTCGAACAGTATTGCACTTATATAGATCTGCAGACCAGGGGAGGTCGGATGTACGTCTCGGTCACGTCACCCTTGGAAAGCCATTCGAACTGGACTCCCCGGGATATTGTCCGCAATAACGAGAGAAGTTCCAGCTGCACTTCAACGTCTAGCCCTGAACCCATTCTCCGCAGAAGACATGGTCAGCAGAGTTCTACGTCGAAGGGCAGCCTGTACCTAAGGGACGAGGAGAAGCGAAAGCGACAATGGGCTAATCGTCAGCCCATTGTTATCCCTTCCTGAGTGAACACGCCGTGGACTGAAACGAAGGAATGTTCTTTGGCTGTTGAATTGCGAAATCTCAGACTGCAACTAGAGACGTCCAGCATTTGCGTTCGAACTCTTGCTGGATGGAACGGTCGACGGTGACGCTGGGCGGCAGCGACAGACCATAACTGGCAATCGTGACTGAGGAAAGCAAATGAGCATCAGTTGTTTTCTTTGTGTTTTTGTTCCTGTCAGGCTTGGAATCGATCTGTATTTCTGAATAACCAGCAGACACTTACAGTACCTATCTTGGATATCTTTCGGATATCTTTCAAACTAGTCGTCCGAAATTCTCTGAACGTCGCATTTAAGAAGATTTATTGCTGGACAGTGTGCATATTGTTCTGGCCGCTAAAACGATATAGTTCTGTATCTGCTGACAAACTGGAGACGTGCGAGTCTAATTTCACATTCCCTTAACAGGGCACGCTCATAGGAGATAGGATTCTACGTCTTCGGCTTCAAACGTCTCAAATCCATCTTCGTCCTAACGAGCATGATTGGCACAGTGCTCCAATGTTCCCCACTTCTGCTCCCGTCACCACTGGTATGCCCTTTGACCAAAGAAGGCGTTTCGAATAGCTGCTACTAGCTGAACCGCTGCGCGGACCGCAACATATACACACGAGATAGTTTGACTCTGAAGGAGATGGAAGAGAATGAGATGAAGTGTTTTGATTGTCACCGATTTGTGATCCGTCATAGACTCGTCAGTTGAAACATTACAGGAGTGAATACACGTCATCGGAAGAGGCTGGCCGCCAGGGTGGCCGTTTTTCAGGCAGCACTTTCGACCGGTGAGCCAGGTCATTCGAGCCACATCGAGTTTGTTCATTTGGCAATATTCTCCAGCCACGAGCTGAAGATCGAAAGGTATTATGAGGGAGGTGGAGGATTGATGGCTCCAAATGATCCGTTGTAAAAGAGGATTCACGCTATCCTACTACACAGCAGGTTCCTGGCAAGTCAGCTCTACGATCCACCGAGGATCGCAGTCTGGTCGTGCCGCCATTTCTTCATCGTCGAGCTCCAGCAAAGGAATCTTCCGCACACGACTAGGATCCTGGAGCAATAGGTGATCGCAAGGCGGAGGGATTCGGTTGCCTACAAACGGATAATCAAGAGTGAAATGGTTTTTTTGGAAGCGAAAGGCCGCGGAAAGATCGACTCAGACGGATTACCTCCCATCCAATCGTGCATTGAGGCAACTAGGGCATTGCGACTTATGCACTTCGATGGGAGCCATTGTTTCTCCCATCGACGACGAATCATTCCACCTGCTGCAATGCCAGGTAGGTCATGATTGTCTGCCTTGAGTTTTAGCAACAGCCGAGGGAGGGGCCTAATAGAGTGGTTTGATGGCCCTGCGGAAGTGGAGAGTGGCTGTTATCGATCGTCGAGGACTAACCAAAGGCAACCTCACCGGTTAAGAAGCTTTGCCGGCTACGGCCTGTGTATTACTCAGATGTATTGTTGCACTAGATAACTTCTTTGGCGCTGTGGACGATGGTTGCAGATGGGACAGCACGAAGTCATGGGAATGTGGAGCATGGCACTGAATAAGGGGCCCAAAAAGAGACTTCTCCCGCCTTGCCCTTGTACTGTGTCTATCTCGATTGTAAGGTTTGCATTGCTGTCCGTTGCTTCTACCCCGTACTATGTACTTTTTCTTATCTCCTTTCCAGCAAATTGCTTGAAGTGTGTGCACCACTTGTGTGATGTTGGATGATAATACTGATTTGAGACACTACTGATGACGCCACATCACTCTCGTGAATCTGGTTGTCCATCACTCTGCAGAAACAACACGGTCTGGCTCTGCTCTAGTTCGAAGCTTACATTTTTCCAAGTAGTACTCCGCCAGTGATCTTCCAGACATGGGCTTATAGGAGGCCACCAAGAGCTCCTCCCTCATTTCTCTCTTTTCCGTGGTCTTCATTTTCCTCAACAGTTGTGCAATTTCTCGTGACAGAGAATGATTTTGTTCAAGGATATCGCCTTCTGAATCTTCGACCAATTCGGGTGTCTTAGAACGGAAAATGTGGTCATCCCCTGGCGATCTAGACTTCACTTCACACGTGCTTGACAACACCCCCGCCCTGCTTATCAGTCAGCCTATGTTCACTCGTCCGGGCAGTTTTGATACATAGCAGTCCAAATTCCCAGAACCAAAGTTGAGGTGTGTTTTCGTGGTGTTTGCCCGAAGCCCTGTGCTGCACAGCCGACTAATATAGTTAGCTCGGTGTGGCTGGGAGTGAAAAACAATTGCCCCGGTGTTGAGTTGCTTCCCGATCATTACATACTGTATAGACCAGCCACTTCAAGTTTTTCCTCAACGTATGAGGTTGACTATGCTGAATGAGGCAATTTCGGTTTGCGTGAGGGCTGAAGGAGGAAGCCATATCGACAACTCAACATTAGTCCCTGCCGCCCCCGTCCTGTTAGAATGACCTCTTGAGAGGAAAGAAGCACTTTGCCGTATACGAGGATCATCATATTGAAGTGGCTGGGAGTCCCAACCATATGAGATTTGGTCGTACGCCGCCGCCTGGTGTTTGAGGATAAGTGGGGCCACTTTGTCTGGTGCGGAATTGGTAAATGACAAGCAATGATCATCGTGAGCGATCGACTTCTTCTGCAGCTTGGGTTCGTTGGTCCAAGTAGGCAAATCAAGTTCTTGGGCAAGGTGAGCGGAGAAAGGTGGTATGTTGATAAAAGGTATTGGATGCATACCAGCACTGCGCGAGAAGGCTGAGTTCAGTGGTGCTTTCGCAATGATGCCGATGTTGGCAACAAACAAGTTCCTCGTGCTGATACGCCCAATTTCAGCGGGAGGTTGGACAGAGTATACAAGGGTAAATGCCGACCCCTGGATTTGAGATTCGGACGCGCTTGGTAGCTCAAGAAAACTCAGGTTGCTTGAAAGTGCGAACGTGGGACGATTGCTGGGGAGCTCCTCTTTTGTCCTAGTCTCACACTCCGCTGCACAGGCAACAACTACGACCAACCTCTCAACCGGTGAGGCATTTAACCTAGTGCCAGGAGACTAATCGACCGATCTCAAACACCAAGGTAAAGTCGCATTTGACTCACAATTTCACCGGTTCCAGGAAGAAGTCTGATCGACTTCTGTGCGATGACTTGCCACTCATTTCCTACAAAAGCATCGCTCAGCATCATGAAACAACGGGTCGTTGCCTGGGACGCCCCTCGAGGCACCGTTGGCATACCAGACCGATTATGTCACATCGGTCTATATATGTATAGTTATTTATGTCCTAATTTATCACAGGTTCTTTCGATCGAGCTGAGCCAGTACACCGACGACTCCCGAGGTGCAGGGTTCCTTTTGAGTTTCAGTGACCCTTTCCACTCTGTACATGTTTTGAATACCCTATTTGCTTGTTGACGACCAAACATACCATAGAAAGCAATGAATAGTGTAATGGTGAAGTGTTGCCCGGCGCTTATCCCACAACTCGTCCTTTTCTTGTGGATTTCAGTCGCGAACGTCGAGTCCCCTAATCCACGAGTGCATGCCTTTAGTAATCATTCTCGGCAGAGGGAACAGCAGAACCACATCCCGACCCAACAATGCCATGATAGCAGACTATAAGCGCCAGTGATTCAAGCTACGTCACTCCATCTCCGTGTTTTCACCTGCACTCTTTATATCATTGTTCCGAACCCGGCAGTGGGCGATCGCTGTAGGGACATTGCGGTCCCGGGCGTACCTTCATCGTCAGCGACATCACGGGAGAGTGAATAGGAAGCCTACCATGCTCTTCTGGGATCACGTCCACTCTCAGTCTCGGTCAATTCATCACCGACCGGGACACCCGTGTTGGAGTCTTTAGACTGCCCTGATCCAGACCGAGAGTAACTTCTTGTTGCTCTGAGCCCAGCGGCTGTCGGTATCGAGGGAGGGCGTGTGAGCTCTCAGCGTTTTCCCGCCATGGTGGCTGGTGGGTACCGTCAGAGTGGGTTTGGAGGAGGGGACTCTTCGGAAGGGTAGGTCCGGAAGTTCCCTCGTGCGCCTCACGAGACTTCTGTTCCGCATCCCGAACAGGGGAGAGAGAGGCTCACTGCCCCTGATTGGTCCGACATAGCAGAAAGCAGCTTCAAGACTGCTATCATCCTGCAAAGTCCCATAGAGAGCGCACCCGGCCACCTTCAGGGTTCCTCTGGAATTGTACCACCCCTCTGTACCGACAAAAACCGCCACCGATCGCTCATTGCTGGACAGTATCCAGTGATACCAGTGTAGGGCGGCACCGTAAGACGGAGGCACCATCGGAGACTTCCATGCTCTCGCAGCAAATCGTTTCGCCTCTATTTCACAAAGTAAAGACACAGATATGAGCAGAAAGGCTCTCTCCAGGTGGGAGCATTGGAAATGGTTTTGCAGGAGGCACTCGACCATCCATGGTAGGACAAAAACTCTCGGCATCGAACCAGGATCAGACAATGACGAAAGGTGTGAAAGGCTGTCATTGTCCGGGTGAATGACGAAATAAGCACATCCATCGTCACCAATGAAGCTCGCCTACTTTGACTCGATCTGGACATGATCCAGTCCTCGAAATTTCAAATTCTTTGGAAGAATGATATCCCTTTGTTTTGCTTGGTAAGCCGGGGGAATCAATCTCGCAATGATATTTCCCGCCTTGCATTCTGTCAGGACTTCTACGTGAATCACCTATTGTAGCGGACGAGTGCGGGATGGAGTTGCGGGACTGTCGTTGATGCCAGCCGAGCTCTGGCATATTCCTAGAGCAGGTAAAGGAGACTGGCCATTTCTGGATGCTCTTTGCCAAAGTGCGTGAGATGCAGAGTGGTTTGTACACTCAAGTGGCGAGGGAACGAAATGAGAAAGAGAAGGTGTCAGTGATGGTAAGGCCACTTATAGATGAACCAACCTCTTGGCAATTACCTGACCAGACTGATCTCGCATATCCTATGCTTTTGCGAATGCGTCTGTTGGTCAGGAGTTCACGAAATCACCCTTGAACGTGCCCAATTTCCAATGATGCAGCGTAGCACGGGTACGTGGCTGATTAAATGGGCAGAAAATGGTCGGGAACTAAAACACAACTACGAAGAGGCGGTACACTGAATCAACGGGATACTCATTCAGAGTCGAGTAAGACAAGCTGCAAGATCGAAACTCGCGAATTTTCAAGTCGTGATACAGTTCCCAGGGGCTACAGAAACGATGGCAGTCATAGTCCCGGGCAAAATTGACCGCTATTCTCAAGTGCACAGCTTTCGAGAATGCTGACCACAACTTGTGATGAGTTCCAACGACCAGGCCGGAAAAAGGACATGGCGACGTGGAGTCGGACAAAATATCTTTCCTATCATATTTTGCCTCGGCTACGAATCCTTCAATGGCTGCGTAACTCAGATTCTGTCTGCAGCTATCGTCCGGTCAATGCTTGAGGAAAGAGCTCTCAACCCGGTGACGTGTTATCTCTGGTTCTGTCAATCTTCCTCACCTGGTGGTATATTTTCTTCGTGCTCTCACGCCAGCAGGCATGCCGTTTCTGTGCCACTATCGACCTCGTCATACTTCGTTCGAGCACGCTCCCTGCCTCTGGAGGATTGTATAGTCCTGTGTGATCCTCGATTCCATATTTTCGACAACCGCTGACGAAGTCGTGTTTTCTTGGTGTTAATGTGGCAGGACTTGGGTAGCAATAAAGTCTGAGAGGAGTAAGACGATTCCGTTGACCCTAGGCGTGGGACAGGTTGCTGCTTTCCTTTCTTGGGCCCTCGAAAAGGCTCCTGCAGCGCTTCTACCGCGGTTTCAGTATCATCGGCGCCATAATAATCTCGCACAAGGTGGTATTCTTCTCACCTCAGGGGCGGCGACAGGATATTCCTGACTAGATTGCTCCCCGAGAGCTCAAGGTTCATGCAGCTACCCCCCAGAAGTGGCAGCAAGGAATCGACAATCTCTTGGTCCTTGGTCAGTGTATGATAGTCTAAGGATGAGAGAAATTCTCGTTCCATGGAGTTGACCTCTTGAAGCGTGAAACCAAACCCTTCATACCCTTTGCAACGTGTCCATCTCAACCACGCCGTGTTTTTGATCCGTTCGTCACGGTGACATTTAAAATTATGGTCAAGTGGTCCAGATATGCCGCAGCCGCAGAGGTGTATGGCCAAGTTTTTCCACTAGCCCTAGAGCATCGCGTTCATTTTCATTACCGTTGCCCAGACTTATCTATAAATCACCTCCCGTTCTCGGAATCCATCTGGTTGGATGTGAAAGACAGCATTTCGGTGCCCTCGTAGACAATTCATAACTTCTGAATGTGGGCACGATGATTCTCCAGTGTAATCAAGAATTATCGATGATGTTGATCGATGTCGTGCTCCCTGTGCTTCTAAGAAGGTGACCACAGAATCGACACTAGGATAGCTAGGGTCACGATCGTCTGAGGCGCGTTCAATAGCCTGCATAAGTTTTGTGGCTGGAAATGGTTGTGTGTCGAGATTCTAGGTCTTCATCAATGAATTGGACTTCACCGTTCTTATGATGGAGGCCCCTAGACACCATTATTGGTGACAGAATGGCGGATGGTGGAAGGTGGAATGTCGTGGAGAACAACATCATGATGTGTCTCGGCGCCCATTTGGGCAAACCCGAGATGAATGGGTAATTCGGGTCGGCTAGTCAGAAAGACTCGTATGCGGGCCGAGCTCAGGCTTTGCATATTGGCAAGAAGCGACAAAATAGTACGTACATCTCCCTCTCGGTTACACTCATCCAGCGCATCTATTACCAAGACAAGTCCTGCTCGTAAGTTCGGACCAATATCAGTCAAGGGTCGATAGATGAGTCTGTCAAACTGCTCCCTCAAAGACCTACGGATGATCCCTGGATCCTCGTTGATCGCCTGCTGAATGTGTGCCGCCAAATCTGGAATCTGTCGTACCAAGTCAAGGGTAATGGTGGTAAAGAATAGACTTGCGTTCTCGCGATCATGTTCACCTCGCTTGAAGAAGAAACTAGCAGCTAGTCGCCCGTGGTCGGCAAACATCTGCGCCGCCGTGCGAGAGATCGTCGACTTGCCCGTTCCGGCCACACCTTTTAGCCAAAGAATGCATTTCCCATCAGCATCGTCAGCCCAACCGTATATCTCTCGCAGTAAGTCTACCCGAGTATCCGGGTGACATCGAACATCAAGTTCACTTTGATGGGAATTGAAAGCGGCTCCAGCTGCCACTGGGAGCTGGACAGAAGGCGTCGCGGGGACCCTCGGAGTTTGGGTGATCTGAATGCGAGGAATACCGAGAGAATCTCCTTAGCATATGCTGCCGCCGTCGCCGCTGCATATTCCTGCCATTGCTTGTTCTTGCGTGAATCGGCATAGTCGCAAATACCCCGGATCACTGAACATGGAAAATGGTCCATCAGCCCAGCCGCTCCATTTCGAAACAAAGAATGCCGAGCTCCCGCGCCCACCGATCTCGAGTTCCGCCATGCTTCATACCCTGATTGCCCGACGCGATCAGTCCGTAATGAATCGCTGGATGGTTTCCGGATCGAGGAGGCCGAGTCACTAATTTACTCGGATCGCGACCTTCACAAGTGCCCTCCGAGTTAAGGTGCTCATATAGAGCGTCGTATAGCCGATCCGGTCGTCGATCACAATATCCATATTCAGGTAACAAGGAACGATATCTTGCTCCCATCTCAGACAGGTATTCTGGAATCCGACCGACTCCCAATGTATGGTCTGCTTGTAACTGAGACACGGCCGTCAAGAGCACTTGAGGGGGCTTATTCAACGTGCCGATACGTCTAAACCGTCCCTCTTGAACAGTTTTGCCGTAGTCATATTGGACCACTCCCCCGAAGTTCTCGTCCGGTTTGCTCACAACAACATCTCCCAGTCGAATGTCGTTGCACGAACTGTGGGCTCCTCCTCCAATGCCTACCATCAAGCCAATGCGGATTGATTGAAAGCTTGACAGCATTGAAGTGGCCACGGTCACTGCTGATGTCGTGCCATATACCCCTGCAGGCATACAGGCAACAACAACGTTATGAGTCCCTATCCGTCCCAGAGTATAGGTATTGTGGTCTTGAAGAGACTTGGGTAAGGCGGGGTGAATTTCGTCCAACATGGCCTTAGCTGCAGCCACCTCCAATGGAAGGGCACAGATCCATCCGACCGTATAATCAGAGTAGGAGAATTGGATCGAAGTGGTCACACGGTAGAGCTCTGGTGCACCGTCATGATTCTCGTTTAGCTTCCTCCTCTTTGCCACATCGAACACTTGGGGATCTTCAAGTCCACGGTTTGTCCTATGCATTCAGGCCCTCAGTTCGCACAGGTTAGGTTTGTGTGGGCATCGCTGTCGAGGCACATTTTCGTCAGGTTTGGATTTGTCGTGAAAATCTGTGAATGATGGAGAGACTGAACAACGTTACGATGAGTCGAGTAGGCTGAACGATCGTAGTTCAAAGGCAGCCAGTCCGAAATATCAACCTGACTGCAGGCAATATGGCCGGCCCTATGGCTGATGGGCAACAAGTAGTGTCATAAGAGAGAAGTCAAAGACGAGAGTAAAGAACGTGTGGCAATCAGGAAAGGGGTGATCAAAGGGAATCATCACAGGTGCTTGATAAGTGTAGCAGGAGACTGTAGTGAGAGCGTCATCGTGAATGTCTCGAGGCGTTCAGCTGCCAGTGAAAGAAGGCTCTAACGTAACGGACTAACGGCCTATCATGGATCACGTGCTTACTCGTGTAATTGAGGCAGAAGGACGCTAAAAGACAGTCTGATCGCCGGGACGTATCTCCTGCGCAGTCAGAATGGTATCAAAATGTCTTGGCGCTGCGTGATATGTAAACAAACTCACTTTTTGTAAACAACGATGTATCGGCCGACTGCCTCAACATGCCCCTTCTCTCAACTTTTCGCGTGGTTACTGCAGGCCTTACCAGCTCGCAAAAATCACGCGGCACGCAGCAAATTTTTACAAAACAGTATGACAACATCAACGACAACGAAAGAAGTTCTAGTAAGGATCAATGGAGAATTCTACAGCAGCTTACCAGGAAATGAATGCAGAAAAAGATTTCACCAGCAAGACGAGAAAGATCTCACATCAAGCCACGGTCAATTTCCTTTTTTATCACGGATTGTCTGCGCTAAATGCTAGGCCTCGTAAAACCCAGGAACCGTTTTAAGGGGTGCAGCGAGTCTAAAACCTGCGGTGCGACGCAAGCGTGCAAGCCTTTCTTATTTCGACATCGCTTGTACCGAGGTGGCTTAGGCTGAGATTACTCAGTTCCGGGGTAAAGTTTGCGGGGAAAAGGGGTCCCACATGCCTTTCTCCATCTCAAAAAGAGACGCCCTTCCGTTTTCTTTCAGATAGCAACCAGCTACTTTGATTTATGACAATGATCTCCCATATCAGGAGCGATCAGGCGAAAATCGCCAATTGGATATCCATCAGCCTTGCCATCTTCATCCTGCTCGTGAGATTCCTCTACGGACAGCACTATCGAAAGTCTTCCTTCGACATTACAACGGCTGTTATTCTGCTTTCCCTCGCACTTCTTATCGCAAGGCTCGTTGTTAGCCATTTCGTACTGGAATATGGCACAGCAGACGACATACTTCTGGAAGGATATACCAACTACAAAAGCCTCGATCTTGACAAGATCGAAGCAGGTACCATCCTGTCACTGGTCTCAAGGCTACTTATCACGACTGTCTACTGGCTTCAATGCGTCCTATTACTCCTTTTCTACACTCGAATCTTAGGACACATCCATTGGGTCAAACTCTGCATTCGAATCACGTGGATGGGGATTGCGGCTTCCTACATAGCCGTGATCTTTGCCACATTATTAGAATGCCGCCCATTCAGACTATACTGGCAGATCCGACCTGATCCTGGACTCTGTGCCCGCGCCTATGTTCAGCTTTTCGTCCAATGCATTTGCAACATCGTTATCGACCTCTTCCTCCTCGCTATATCCTACCCTGTCCTCAGGACACAAGGCCACAAATGGTCAGAGAAAGGCCGAATCGCGCTTTTATACGTTCTGGGTACCTTTTGCATCATCATCACCTGTATTCGTGTCGTCTATATCCATGGCTCCAACTCTGCCCAGCCTTCCCGCAGCTTTTGGGCATCCATTCAAGCCGTCATATCCACGTTTGTCGCGAATGTACCCAGCATATATGGACATTGGAAGCTCAGGATCCGGAAAAGGACACAAAGTAGCAGTGGAAGGAGGAGAAATACTCAACCAGATACCTACGTTCTGATGGACGAGCTGAACCGGCGTGGCTCACGGCCGAGAGGCGACTATGAGGAAGACCCCGCAAGCAACAACACGATGAGATCGGAGTCAACTAAACAAGGCAAAAGAGAAGACGGCAGTTTTTGGATATCGGAGTCAGAAATCCCTCGTCCGGCTGACATTGGAAAAGACACAAATCAGTGTTAAGGGCTGTCTTTGTAATTCTAGCACCTAAGCTGGAGGGGACTACAATGATCAAGCCGGGCGATATGGACACACACCCGGAGAAGAACGCAGGAAGTGCTAGTACTTTGGCGAGCGAAGGCCGGCCCTCTTCGAGAGTCCACAGTCGCATCGCCTCTTCCATGAACTGCGGGCCTCTAGTTGATTGGTCTTCAGGATCTGCGAAAGCCGACGGGGTGGTCGGTGTACAGCTATCCATGATTTGTATAAATCACTGAGACTCTTGAAGCGGTGGAGGAAACGAATAAGCATTGCTTATCAGTTGCAGTGGTTGCGTATCTTACGGTTGGTCTCGCTTCACTTCTTCTCTTTTTGCGGAGGTGGGATTAAGTTTCCTAGTTGATTCGAGACCACGAATAAAATACGGCCTTTCCGCCGTAAAGTTATGCCTATATTTTGTCTTGTGCAGCATTCGAGTTGGACCCAAAGTGGAGCCGACTCATGGCTGCACAAAACTTCAAAAGAGACACAGATATATGTGACTCTAGAGCCCGTTTTCAGAGGAAAAAATGCGCTTGTACGCAGATTGAGCAAAGTCAGGGAAGTCATTGAGAGAAATAAAGATCGAACTCAAAATCTCATTTACAGAGCGGGGACCGATAAAATCTTATTCAATACTGAACCAATAAATATTGGTCTTGGCAACATAGCATGGCCGTGGAGAACAATGTTGATACGGCCAGGGCATGCTTTATTACGGTGATCTACTGACCAGCTGATACGGCATGGGGACTTGGTTTTGAAATAAGCTTCCACAACCATACCGACTCCATTTGACGCTATCCTCTGTGCCATGTTACGGAAGATAAGGACCGGAGCCTTGTGTCGCTCATTGCTGCAATATGTTTCGTGGTTGATTTCGCATGCTTGCGGCTGCAGCAAGCTTTTGTGTTTTTCGCAGTAGTCGTTATCGCACAGGAGACAGCGCCGTGTCGTTCCTTCCTGCCTCCAATTATGCGCTGTGTGTGTTGTGCGTGTTGTGTGGTTGTGTGCCTGTGTGGTTGTGTGGTTGTGTGCCTAATTGTACCGCTGGAGCACGTGCGACACCATACGTGTTGCAGGCTTGGCAGTGGGAAATGCACTTCAGGAATCGTCAACCTGTCTCTGTTTTCTCTACTTATGGAGGCTGTTCTTCTTCCTCACTAAATTACGCGTACAATCTGGAATGGTCTTTTCCGCATCTACTGTTGAGCTGAAATGACTGGTGAATGACTGTCCTGCTGAGGTTTCTTGGTCCTTGTCAGACTGACAACTGCACTAGTGGCAAATTCGGTACGGTGGATCATTACGGCAGAGTATAGGGTCTTTAGCAGCAACAATACGTACTTGAACGAAAGCAGCGGAAAATGTTGTTACAGCTGTTTCAATAAACCTTAAGCCTTGTTGGAATCACTAGCTACGTTATGGGGCTAGCGTTCATTGGACACTAAGACCCTAATTTGCGCCTATTCCTAAGCGGAAGTCCCGGTTGATCATTAAGACTCTCAAGCAAACTGCTTTTTGCCATATGCTTGCCCGTAGATCATAAATTTGGGATCTCACCCTGAGAGCCATAGAACATTCGGTATCATTCATTTTTCATCGAACATGTCATCAAAACCATTTTGCGCTAGGGGCAGATATAAGAGTACCGAGACTCCACCCCAACTAATCACCATACTCCAGTCACCCACCCACTGTTGGGGGTTACCCAAAGCATCAGTGTAGCCGAAGCACCAGTAACAATTTTGTGTGGAACGAGTAAACGGACAATGGCCTCGTGGCTTACAGTAGCCAATATACATTGATGGTGCATTTGAAGTCTGGGCCGACGATGAATGTTGAACTACTTTAAGGGTTGTGGGCGAGCGTGGAGGAGCCAACGGAATCGCAACTGCGGTGGACCAAATGTTTGAATTGAGAAGAAAGACGAAAAATGATAGGAATTTGCCAAATGCCCTCCTCCCGGGCATGATCCAACCACTACCCGTTACTAACAGCCTCGCTCGCTTTCTGACTTTCCATGACCTCGACGACCTCAAACTCGACCAGGTCGTCCCAGTTCCGCATCCACACATCCAAGTCCACCCGTTCGCCCTCCATCACCTGGTAACACGTCGTGAGGTCCAACGTCACCCAGCTCGCGACGTACTTCAGCCCTGTGGGGGCGAGCCGGCCCTGTAAACGGAACCGTGCGTATACGGGTCGTGCGTCGTTGTCGCGGAAGTGTTCGATAACCATGTATTTCATTTTGGTATTTTGATCTGTAATATGTTGTGTTGTTTCTCCTGCGCAGTGCAGACTAGGAAAAGGGTTCAAGCTGAATTTTGTTTGAAAGCTTTCTACCACCTCACTCGGAGTGGCATGCAGATGTCTCACGCGGAAACCCTTCAGGTGGCTCAGCTGCTCGCAGCAACGCTCCAGTTTAGCATTAATGAGAACGGCTCATTTCAAGTCGGCAAAACTCCGGTGGAATAATCATGTGACTTGCCCTATCTGATATTATAATCTAATCTATTGGACATGGTCTTAAGTAAGGCATAGTCGCTCCACGGGGTCCGTGTCACGAGATCACCGGGGTCCTGACAAGTATAGTAAGTATCGCGGTTGTGAGAGAGCAGTCTTCGTGCGAACTATTACTAAGAACATATCCCTAGCAATGTTTAACGAAGTTAACTACGACTATAAATACTATGTGTCATGACCGTGTATATGTAGAGGGGCTGTGGACTGCGGACTGAGTGGACTAGACCTGCCTCAACTGCAACACTAAATGGAAGACCATAGAAGTTCCCAGACAGGGCCATTTGGGGTCATTTGAATGATTGCCATGACCCCCTCCTCGATAACATTAAGCGTTGTTGCTGGATTGAGAGACATCATCTACTCTAGCTGTGTGTATGCAAGATTAATATGTAGGTGCTGTGCTGGAGGTGGGAAAGGATGAAGTCGCCTTCGAGCCTGCATTCCGAGATTTTGTTTGCAGTCCAAAACCCTTGCGGAATAGGACTTCGAAGCCAGTAAATATTAATTCATCAGGTAAAATCTAGGGTGTCATAATCCTGTCTTGTTGAGACTTGACTAACTTGGTTAACAAGTTAGGCCATCGAGGTAGCTGTGCTCTCTCTCTGACTCGAGTGGTTTGAGTTATCTTGTCGCTTTAGTGGCTTTGGAGTTAG